CGCGCTGGCGCCCTCCCGAGCTGTACTTCCTCGGCTTCGGGGTGCCGAGGGACACGCGAGGGCTCGCTTGGGCCAGGTGGCCCGCTTCAGCGCCTCCGAGCCGCCTCCTCTCAGATTGCCCGAGCTGGCGCCCCCAAAAACCGTATTCCCTCAACCTCCGGATGCAAAGACACACATATATCTATATATATATATATATATACAAATATAAGTGTATATATATATATATATATATATATATATACTAGAACCACGCGCGCGCTTCGCGCGCGCTTAGGTTCTAGCGCAGACAATGGCGACTGCATTGTCCAATGGTCTGAGCCTTCTTGGCCCGTCTTGGGGCCGTCCTGAGGGTCTCTTGAGTGGTCTTGGGGCGGTCTTGGGAGGCTCTTCGGCGCTCTTGGACCGTTGGAAGCTCGAAAACGCGAGAAGCCAAAACATTGAAAAGACCATTGAACATATACGACGTTGGCCTCTTCGGGCCGTACCGTGATACCTATCAGACTTCTTGGGGTCTCTTGGAGGCCACCTGGGAGCCTCGAGAGCCGTCGGAAGGCTGACTTGGGCTGCTCGGGAGCGTCTTGGGCCATCCTTTCGCATTCTGGGGGCTCATGGGGGGCGTCTTGGGCCCTCCTGGAGCGCTGTGGAGGCTGCCCGGAAAGGCTGGGGGAGCGGTGCCGGGAGTGTCCCCGAGATGTGGCCATACCTTTTCAGCGCGTTCCGGGAGCATCTTCCCGGAACGCGCTCGTGGCAGGGCGCTCACGTCCGAGGACGTGGGCATGGGAAACCGCAGCGCGTGATCATTCCAGGCGTTCTGGCGGACTCCAGGAAGACTGCATGGCGTATGAGGATGGCTGCCGCCTCTTGCCCCGAGCATTCCAAACTGCCTGAACGGTTCCCACTCGCCTTCCCCAAACCCAGCGCTTGCCCAAGCACGTTCCGGACGGTCTTCGCCAGAACGCGCTGGAATGATCACGCGCTGCGGTTTCCCATGCCAACGTCCTCGGACGTGGGCGCCCTGCCACGA